CAGCGTGTGACCTTGTCAGTGTGCTGGCTGTGCCCAATGAGGTCTCTTTGCTACCCTCTGGCCCCCGGTGGGCGCTCATGGACCAGCTCAGCCTCAGCCACAGGCCACTTCATCCTAGAGCCTCTGGCCTTCCTCTGGCCCAGGCTGCATCCCGGGCAGACTCTGAGTGTCTCAGCAGGCCTCCCAGGCATGTGCAGGGGAGGAGCTGGCCAGCATAGCAGAGAGGGCTCTGAAGGGCTTGGCATTACCTGGGGCCTCCATTTACTCATCATTGCAGGGTGGGTGGGGCTGTGGCCCATGAGGTGGACGCTCCCTCTCTGCTCTTTTTTTTTTTTTTTGAGAAGGAGTTTCACTCTCGTTGCCCACGCTGGAGTATAGTGGTGCGATCTTGGCTCACTGCAACCTCCATCTCCTGGGCTCAAGCAACTCTCCTGCCTCAGCCTCCCGAGTAGCTGGGATTACAAGCATGTGCCACCACGCCCAACTAATTTTTATATTTTTAGTAGAGATGGGGTTTCTCCATGTTAGTCAGACTGGTCTCGAACTCCTGACCTCAGGTGATCTACCTGCCTCGGCCACCCAAAGTGCTGGTATTACAGGCGTGAGCCACCGCACCTGGCCTCTGCTCTAACTTTTATTATGTACCTGATATAGTTTAGATGTCTGCCTTCTCCAAATCTTAGGTTGAAATCTGATCTCCAGTGTTGGAGATTGGGCCGAGTGGGAGGTGTCTGGGTCTTGGGGGCAAATCCCTAATAAATCGCTTGGTGATGAGTCACTGAGATTTGGTTGTTAATAAGAAGTCTGAGACCCCCCATCTCTCTTGCCTTGTAGCATGCTTGCTCCCCTTTCACCTCCTGCCATGAGTAAAAGCTTCCTGAAGAACCCCCAGAAGCCGGGCAGATGCTGGCGCTGTGCTCATACAGCCTGCAGAACCATGAGCCAAATAACCCTTTCTTCATGTATTTTTTTTTTTTTTTTTGAGACGGAGTTTCACTCATGTTACCCAGGCTGGAGTGCAATGGCGCGATCTCGGCTCACCGCAACCTCCGCCTCCCGGGTTCAGGCAATTCTCCTGCCTCAGCCTCCTGAGTAGCTGGGATTACAGGCACGCGCCACCATGCCTAGCTAATGTTTTGTATTTTTAGTAGAGACGGGGTTTCACCATGTTGACCAGGATGGTCTCGATCTCTTGACCTTGTGATCCACCCGCCTCGGCCTCCCAAAGTGCTGGGATTACAGGCTTGAGCCACCGCGCCCAGCCTCTTCATGTATTTCTTTATAGCAACATACAACGCACTCCAATCATATCTTTTTTTTTTTTCTTTAAGAGATAGTCTTATTATGTTGTCCAGGCTGGTCTTGAACTCCTGGCCTCAAGCGATCCTCTTGCCTGTCTCTCAAAGTGCTGGGATTACAGGCTTGAGCCACCGCGCCCAGCCTCTTCATGTATTTCTTTATAGCAACATACAACGCACTCCAATCATATCTTTTTTTTTTTTCTTTAAGAGATAGTCTTATTATGTTGTCCAGGCTGGTCTTGAACTCCTGGCCTCAAGCGATCCTCTTGCCTGTCTCTCAAAGTGCTGGGATTATAGGCGTGACCCACTGTGCCAGCCCCTGCTCTTTTTAATCATTTACACTACTGCTGTGATCATTACAAGTAATGTACACCGCCTACCTTTCCAAATTAAGATGATTTTTTTTTTGAGATGGAGTTTTGCTCTGTTGGCCAGGCTGGAGTGCAATGGTGTGATCTCGGCTTATTGCAACCTCCGCCTCTCGGGTTCAAGCAATTTTCCTGCCTCAGCCTCCCGAGTAGCTGGGATTATAGGCATGCGCCACTACATCCAGCTAATTTTTTGTATTTTTAATAGAGACGGGATTTCTCCATGTTGTTCAGGCTGGTCTGAAACTCCCAACCTCAGGTGATCCGCCCACCTCAGCCTCCCAAAGTGCAGGGATCACAGGCGTGAGCCACCGCGCCTGGCAGATCATTTTTATATTTGGAAGAGGAGGAGAGGAAATGACATTTTCTGGAGCTTGGGAAAACTTGTTATCCAAATAAAAGGGAGTACATTTCTGGCAAACACCACACTGCTGAATAAGCAGCAGGTGCTATTAAGTGCTAAGTGCTACGTGTGTCCATGTTGAATCCCACACCAACCCTACCTGTATGAGAATTGCCTTCCCCAAAAAAGAGGCTTTTAGCCAAGTAGGATAACTTGCTGAAGGTCACACAGCTAGGTGGTGGCAAAGAAAGGACTCAAACCAGGCCTGTCTGCCTGCCTCCAGAGCTGTTCTTTTTTAGAGACAGAGTCTCACTCTGTCGCCCAGACTAGAGTGCGCTGGTGTGATCTTAGCTCACTGCAACCTCTACCTCCTAGATTCAAGCCATTCTCCCACCTCAGTCTCCCAAGTAGCTGAGATTATAGGCATGCCCCACCACGCCAGACTAATTTATGTAATTTTAGTAGAGACGGGGTTTTGCCATGTTGGCCAGGCTAGTCTTGAGCTCATGACCTCAAGTGATCTGCCCACCTAGACCTCCCTAAGTGCTGGGACTACAGGCGTGAGCCACCGCACCTGGCCTGGAGCCGCTCTTAAATCTTGGACTCTGTAACTCATGAGACCTTTGGGGAGAGAACATTCACATTGAGCTTGGCTCCTGGCCAGCCCCTGTGCAAAGCCGTGGCCATTGGGAAGCTGATAATTGAGGCACTGGTGAGGTAAGGAGAAGGGAAGGAACATCCCGCACAGCCCTGCAGGCTCCTGCCGGCACCACCCTCCAACAAAAGCAAACTTGGAAAAAAAAAAAAAAATGGCCAGAAAGAGGCTGGGCATGGCGGGACACACGCCTAGAGTCCCAGCTACTCAGGAGGTGAGGCGGGAGGATTGCTTGAGTCCAGGAGGTCAAGGTTCAGTGAGCTATGGTCATGCAACTGTTCCCCAGCCTGGGTGACAGGGTGAGACCCTGAGTCTGAAAAAAGAAACAAAACAAACCAAAAAAATCCAACAAACAAACCAGAGAGTAGATCTGTCAAAATTGGGTGCCAGATGACAATGAAGGGAAAAACCCAGGATACTCCCCTTTAGGGTGGCGCGCCTATGAAAAAATGTGCGTATACCTTTCTTTTTTTTTTTTTTTTTTTGAGACAGAGTCTTGCTCTGTTGCCCAGGCTGGAGTGCAGTGGCATGATCTCGGCTCATTGTAGCCTCTACCTCCTGGGTTCAAGCGATCAGCCTCAGCCTCCTGAGTGCTGGGATTAAAAGCACGCGCCACCATGCCCAGCTAATTTTTGTAATTTTAGTAGAGACGGGGTTTCACCATATTGGCTAGGCTGGTCTTGAACTCCTGACCTCGTGATCTGCCCACCTCAGCCTCCCAAAGTGCTGGTATTACAGGCGTGAGCCACCGCGCCCAGCACAGGTTACCTTTCACTGGAACAGTGGAGTGATTCTGGAAAGAAATGCTTCCTACAGGGGAAGGTAATACCTTCCTCAGAGCAGCTCCAGGTTAGTAAGCTCAATGCCTCACCTTCTAGCAGGACAGAGCTATCCCTTCTGGTCCTAAAGGCTCACCGCTCTCAGTAGAGCCAAATAGAAGTGGCATCTGGCTTCTCCAACTGCCTGTTACCTCATGCCCCCAAATCTCAGCAAGGAAGCCCTGCTGGCCTGAGGGCTTGAGTGTCCCAGTGCCCACGCCGCAGAGGGTTGTGCTCAGAGGCCCTGGGCACCGCTGCCCCTCACAGCCCAGGCCTCTACCTCTGGTTCTTCCCACATCATCACAGATGCTTTCTGGATCCTTTCGATGGACAATTTCTCTTGCTGAGTCTGTCTGCAGTGTTTTTAAAGCCAAAGGACGCTTTTAAAAGTCTTTGCCAATTAACTTTTTTGTTGCTGTTGTTAAAGACTGGATCTTACTCTGTCACCTAGTCTGAGTGCGGTGTCATGATCGCGGCTCACTACAGCCTTGACCTCCTGGGCTCAGGCGATCCTCCCACCTCAGCCTCTTGAGTAGCTTGGGACCACAGGTGTGTACCACCATGCCCAGCTAATTTTCGATGTTCTATAGAGACAGGGTGTCACTAGGTTACCCAGGCTGGTCTTGAACTCGCGGCATCAAGCAATCTCCCACCTTGGCCTCTCAAAGTGCTGGGATTACAGGTGTGAAATCCACACATGGCCAATTAACTCTTTATCGAGGTCTCTGCAAATAGTCAATGGACATCCTCTCCTTTCTATCCAATTCCTCACCCACATTCCCAAACAAAAACAAACAGGCAGAATTATTCTTTGGAGCTGGCTGAACAACCTGCTGTCAGAGGTGGGCTCTGATTTTTCTTCAAGCGAAGGAAGCCAAGAGGCTTCAGGATCCTGAGTGCCTCTGGATTTTAGGCACAGGAGAGATTGCTGCGTTCTTCCCTGATGGGAAAAGCCAGGCAACCTTTGCCTTCTCTGTCTTGTTGATGGCTGGGCCAACACACCAAGAGGTTGTTTTCTATCATTAAATTCCTAATGAATAGGCGATACGGACAAGGCAACAGCAGCGCTTAAGCATGCAGCCTTTAAGATGTGTCCGAAGCCTTAATGTATCCGCAGCAATTATTAAATGACTTACTGTGTGTGACCCTTTGATCAGGAGCTGGCTTTCTGACAGGTGTCGCCTGGAGGCAACGCTCATCTGCCTTTCAAGAGGCAGACCCGATCATGTAATGATACAGGAAGAGTTTTCAAAGAATCCTGATCGGTCTCATCAGAGGGCAATAAAATCTTACGTGGTAGTTGTGAAGAGGAAAAGTTTTACTTGGAAATAGCTCAGGACGATTATCGTCTCTTTAACGACTCAGATTCCTACCCCGCCCTGACTTTATGATGTGTATATTACAAGGAGAGCTGGTCCCAGAAGTATGGGAAAAGGCAATTAAAAAAAAAGAAAAGAAGAGAAAAGAAACGAAGAGAAAAGAGAAGACAAAGGAAGGAATGCATTTTCCACCAACCTTGATTCTTCACTTCGGCAAATTCCTTGTTGTATTCTTCCAGAGTTTCCCTAAGTTTCTGGTTCTCTGTTTCAATATCGTGCAGCCGCTGCACTTTGAGCTGGAGTTGCTGTCCAAGATCCAAAGCCGGTACTGGATCTGCACAACAGGAAAGCAGCCATCACCCCACTCTGGCCCCAAACATGCCCCCGTCACAGCAATACACGGGCTCAGAACGGGACTCCTGAGATGTCAGCTCCAGCAGGCTGCCCAGAGGCCTCAGTCATGACCCTGCGGCCTCACCTCCCCCTGAAGGGGCCCTGCAGCCAGCCCCCTTGCTGGGTAAGGGGGTTCTGCGCTGCTTTACAAAAGATGAACCCAGCCCAAGGTCCTTGAGGTGTGAAAACGGGGTGGGAATAGTCATGAGATTCACTGGTATTTGCCGATTACGTGATTTTCATTCTTTGATCGGATAAGTAGAGAAATATACCAGGCAGCAGCCCCAGGAGATCAATGACATCCCCAGACAAGTCCATGGACAGCTGCCCGGGTGTTTAAGGTTTCCAACGACTATGAAGTTGGAATAACAGATAACACCTGATGCCCTGAGAATGCCACACACTTCACGGGACACTTTATGGACATTCTGTCCTTTGGGCCTTACAACGATCTCGAGAAAGAGGCCTCAGAAGCTAAAGCCCAGGGTTGCAGAGTGACTCTCCTGAGGTCACCGGCTAGTTGGTTGGCGCAGAGAATGTGTACCTAAGTCTGTCAGCTCCAAGTGATCATGCTTTTTTGTGTTTGTTTGAGACAGGGTCTTGCTCTGTTGCCCAGGCTGGAGTGCAGTGGCACAATCATGGCTCACTGCAGCCTCCGCCTCCTGGGCTCAAGCAATCGTCCCACCTTAGCCTCTTGAGCAGCTGAGACTACAGGCATGCACCACCACGCTGGGCTGATTTTTTTTATTTTTTGTATAAATGGGGTCTTGCTATGTTGCCTAGGCTGGTCTCAAACTCCTGGGCTCAAGGGATCTGCCCGCCTCAGATTCCTAAAGGATTTACAGGCATGAGCCACCCTGCCCAGACACGAGTGACCATTCTTTACAACAAGGAAGGTCACTTGGTGAAGCAGAGGGAAGAAACACGTAGGCTTTATAAAGAAGCCACCCCGTTTCGTGGCATGATCACTTTCCATCACCAGCCTCCTTCACTAATGAAGGGTGTTCAGAAGAGTCAGGGGTTCGTGGCTTCAGGTCCCAAGGCTGGAGACCCCTACAGAGGCACGGCTGGTGACCCAGCATGGCCCTGTGGTAGGCCAGCTGGGCAGGAGGCCACCACACTCCTGATGGTGACAAAGCACAGTGCAGCATGAGCTGAACAGCAGTCAGGCCGCTGATGAGGTCTTGTGGCCAATTCAAGGTCACATCTGCCAACAGATTCACTTGCAGAAAACTGGATTTTAATCCAAAGTCAGAAGTCACAGACCCGGAATTTACAGCACAGACTCAGGGCTCTTGCCTTTCCCGTGAATTCAACACGGAGTGGAGAGACCTTAAATGTTCTTCCGCACCAATGCGATCTTTTAGTTTTCCTTCTGCTGCCTCAGAGGTGATTATAGTCTGCCTATTGGGTACTTGGGGCACACTTCCTTTGGAATTTTCAGGCTCCGTCAGAGTGGAAGAATACCCAAGTCCACGGAGCTTAGAAAGATTACTGAATATATTTCTGGTATGGGCGCCGGCGTCACTTGTGAGATGGCTGCAGAGATTTAGTCTCCAGTTGAGGAATGTCAAACACCATGCCCAGTGGATCAACAAGAGCATATATTCAAGAGTTCACTTAACTTTCGAATGCCAGAGTCATTCATTTTTCAGACCACCCTAGGTTCCTGGAATTGAGGGCCAGGTCTACCATGCCTCGGTTAACACATCCAGAGGGAGCCAGCGACTCTCTAGGATGCCAGTGTCTTTGCAGAGTTTACAAAAGGCAGGCATTGGGCTATGTCGGGCTCAATGTCAGCGGACCCCGGGTACTAGGTACTTATTCTGCATGTATACACAGTCTATAATTGCATCTCTTTCTTGTGCATGGCTTTTCATGATTTTAATCAGCATCAAAATATTTATGTTAAGTTTGACTCCAAGAGCTATTTCGGAGGCTGGGTGCAATGGTTCACGCCTGTAATCCTGGCACTTTGGGAGGCTGAATCACTTGAGCTCAGGAGTTTGAGACTGGCCTGGGCAACATGGTGAAAGCCTGTCTCTACAAAACAAAAACACAAACCAAAAACTAGCCGAGCATGGCGGTGCACACCTGTAGTCCCACCTACTGGGGGGACTAAGGCAGGAGAATCGCTTGAGCCCTTGAGGTCGAGGTTGCAGTGAGCCATGATCGAGCCACTGCACTCCAGCCTGGGCCACAGAGTGAAATCCTGTCTTGGAAAATTAAAAAAGCTATCTTGGGGAGATGGTTCTTTGTAAGTAGGAGTAGTAATAACACAAAAAACAGAATTCCTAAAAACATTCCAGGTGCTGTTCGTAAAAAAAAAAATCTCAGTAACTTCACCTTCTCAGCCTTCCCTCTTCTCCACCTTCCTGGCCTCGTGCTGGGCAAACGGTCTCAAGAAAGTGAACGCCATGTTCATAGCTTCCTTTGTATAGAACCACAATTTAAACTTGACGCAGAGGTCAGGGAAGGGGAGGTAAAGAGAGGAACCTTTGCCCATGTATAAAATTCTATTAAGAGTCTCTCACGTAGGCTTTCCGGCACAAGTGCCGGCAAATTATATCTTTAAAGAACAAAGCTAGTACACTGCCTGCCCTCCCTAAAAGTTCTGTCAACAGCATTTCCAGTCCATTCCTTTCAAAAGGCCAGGACCCCCCTGTATCTGCTTCGAATAAAAAATAGCTTCTCCCATGCAGTTCAGCAAGGAATCCGGTGACATATGAAAGTGACACGCACATCATCCAGTGAGTAGGAATGAGACCCTTACACCAATTTTCAGAGCCTTACACTGTAAATGAAAATTCAGGCGATCTCATAATCGCTCATTATGGCATGTATGTTTAGTCTGACACTAGTAAGGGTTAATACCGAAGTAGCAAAACTGGTCACAGACTGAAGGATGAGCTGAGTGTTCAAACACCTCTATGCATTAGACTCCAAACTTGACTACGGTACAGCTGACTGCCTAAATGCCTGCAGTATCTGAATACTGTTTTGGGATATGTAAGAGGCATTGCTAAAGAAACTCTTAGGCTTAATTGTTATTACTTGTACTAAAGGAACAGCTAATTACCGCATGACAATATAATGACTCTAGCATGTTTGGGCTGGAGACCAAGACAATGAATTTTGGCGTGCCAAAACCCAACCTGTATGTTAATCTACGGAAATCATAGCTTTTTGTCTCCTTAATGATTTCCAAGGCCATTTAAGCCCCACACAAGGATTGTCAGGTCTTATCCCAGCGTCAGATGCCTCTGCTTAGCAGCTCAATTAGGGAATTGTCTGGAGGAGGTGAAGAGGACACACCCATATATAAAACAGGAACACACAAAAGCCGGTAACCCCTGTCTTCCCAGCCTCCTCCTCCGATTCAACTCGCCTTCCTGCCAGCTCCACCCACCCAATGCGACAATCTTGTAAAGTGTTTTACGATCATCTGATACTTGATTCCTACAGCAATCCTGGCGGTATTATATAGCTTGTTATGCAACACAGTGCTCAACAACAATACCATCACCTGTACGGATTCAGCACCTTTGCCCACGTGCATGCAACATTACCTCGCTAATTCCAGCCACGGCAGTCAGAGCTGCCAGAGCCCACTCTGCAATGTACGGGGTAGATGCATCTCACCCGGGGAGGAAAGGAAGAAGCAAAGAAGCCGGCCAGGCAAACGAGTATGAGAAATTCTCAGCGCAATTTCTGCTTACTGCTGGGCACAGTGGCTCATGCCTGTAATCCCGGCACTTTGGGAGGTAGAGGATGGAAGATCGTTTGAGCCCAGGAGTTTGAGGCCAGCCTGGGCAACACAAGCGAGAGCCTGTTTTTAGGGAAAATACAAAAATTAGCTGGGCATGGTGCTGCACGCCTATAGTCCCAGCTCCCTGGGAGGCTGAAGCAGGAGGATTGCTTGAGCACGGGAGGTGGAGGTTGCGGAGAGCTATGACTTTTTTTTTAGACATAGTCTTACTCTAGCCTTGGGGACAGAGTGGGAAAAAGTTTCTGTTACCTGAATCAGCAGCCAATGAAAATCTCTTTCAGTGCTAATTTGGCAAGTGATTCCTACGGAACTGAAGCAACTGTCTCTGCTGGGAAAGGCCCGGCCTCACAGCAGAGATAAATCATGCATGCACACGACAAACTCAAAACAGGAGGAGCCACGCTGGAGACCAGATGAGCGGAAGAGCACTCTTGGAGAAACTGGGAAAAGGAGGTCTTTTTTTTTTTTTTTTTTTT